ACAGCATAATTAGCTTCCAAACAAAGGTGGATGCTATAGCCACCTTGCACAATCTCTCAACTTGTGATCAGATCATTCCATTGATTGCCTCTTCCAACGTGTCGTTTACGTTGCTCCGTCTGGCGAATTGCTCGGAAAAGTGGTCGGAGTTGGTGGAGAAGGCAATAGCCTTGGTCGAAAATGTGGTGTCTTCGTCGGAAACAGCGGTTGAAGAAATCACGAGCACTGGTGGGGCAATTAGAGTTTTGGTTGAAGCAATTGAGGAGGGTTCTGCTCAGTGCAAAGAACATGCTGTAGCAATTCTCCTTCATATATGCCAAAGCTGCAGGTAAATTTCACAATCTTATTCGGATTTTATCTATGTCAACCTGGTTTTATTTCATTCAAATGTGAACACAAAAATGCAGGAAGACATACAGAGGACCGATACTGCAGGAAGGAGTAATGCCCGGTCTGCTACAGTTGAGCGTGGATGGGACATGGAGAGCGAAGAACATGGCAGGAGATCTGCTATTACTTCTGAGAGATTGCTTGAATTAGGAACCTATGTGTTGAGGAGAATCGAAGCATGAGCTTGTAGGGCAAGCGATGAGGGAGATTGATTTTGCAGAAAGGGAGAAAATTCCAGGGACAACGTTGAGACTAGTGGAACATATGATTGCTGAGCTCAGTACATGACAAGCTAAGATTAAACAAGCTTCTTTTCTTTCTTCCTGTAAATATACAATATGGGCTTGAGATTTCTTCTTCTTGCTAACTTCAGTTTTTAGGAGTTTTTTTTTTCTTTTTCCTGTTCATTGGATCTCTGGTTTTAATGTTACAGTTCTAAAGGATAGTAAGAAGTATAGTAAAACTGTTTAGCAAAAGTGATTTTAGTCAAAAATTATTTGGTGTTTGGTAAAAATAGTTACAAAATGTGTTCTTACTAAAAACTGAATAAAATTCTAACAAAATCTAACAAGGGATAACAATTATGATTCCTTTTCCCACTAAAAGAAATATTATGAATTCTTTCCGGATACATGTAAAGAACATATTCTGTAGAATCAACTTATAAAATAACCCATCAAGGCACCACTCAGATTCAACAGTTAACACCCAATTTAATATAGAACTAAAAGTGAAAACCCTGAAAGACTATTATAGGTACTGATAAACTGAATATATTAAATGTATTTATAATGCCAAAGATATCAAGTGAATGAAACATTCTTAAAATGTTATGATGTATCAATTTCCTGAGCAAAAGTTTTCTTGCAACATTCTCTAGGATTGAGATGAGACAGTCACCCAGTATTCATAGAAACGACAGTGAAGAACAAGAGGAACACTAGAGGTCAAGATGCATTCTAAAGCATGCTCAAAGTATTTAGTTACTTTTTTTAACATATCAAGATACATACAATTCGTTCTCCTTCTCCTAACATTGCAAGTAGTCTGGAGGATTATTTGATGATAGTATTACATCTGCCTACAAAAAAAAAGAGGAGGTATACGCACACCCCAACAATTAGGATAATGGGACATGTTTCAGCCTGACCTTCTATATAAGCTATAAGCCAAGGTAACGGTTGCCACGGCTCCAACAACAGCAGCAGCTGCAAGGATATCACTTTGCTCCAATAAGCCAATCTAACTTGACAATCTGCACAGCCCCTTTTCCTTCTTCTCACTAGCTGCTGGGCTATCAACCCTGCAACATGAAAACCCATTCACTCCCGGGCAACAGCTTCCTGAGTCATCCTTGTTCTCCTCGAAGTTGATTTCTTCAAGCTTCTCCTGCTTCTTTACATCATCTCCATTTGGAAGCTTCTGTTCCTCCACTGTTTCATCTTCCTTGCAAGATGCCCCCAGTTGGCCCCCTGAAAATAAATTGTCAGTTTCCTCTTTGTATTAAACATACAATGGTCTACCTCATATTTACAGAAGAATAATGTAACATTTGCAATGAACATAAAAGTAAAAAATGCAAGTTATAGCCTAAACAGCTGTGACTACAAAGACGGAATAGTCCCCAATTTCATTTAATGCATTAAACCCGTAAAAACAAAATCTATCAAGTTTTAGTCCATAATTTAGTCAACAGAAATAATAAATATTCAGAAAAGAAAACAAAAACGAATTCTCAAACAATTACAAATTTGACATCTATTGTACTAACTCATTACAAATAGAAGCAGTAACCTGGTCATTAAAGTTAATTCCATAAAACAGGATACAGAAAAACACTAAAAATGCAAACCTCCAAAGCCGCTTCATTATTATACTGACAAAAAGTTGTGATTAACTATTTAAAAGAACAAAAGTGGTAGAGAAATGATACCAGGTTATGGGTTATGGTGGATAATTCCATGACTGTGAGCATTTTGTTGCATTAGCAATGTCAAGTGCATATACAACTGCCACATACCACATGCTTGTCTTGCGCGCTGGCTTCATGTTGCCCAAGTATAGATAGATATTCCATTCAATTGGAGATCAGCAGGTATAGGAGTTGCCTTGGGGAGAGTTTCTTCTTTCATTTTCACCTGCAACAGTCTCAAAAGTCCACCAATTTTCTCACAATGTGGGTTGAACTTCTTCTTATAACAGGTGAAGATAAGACTCGAATTCGAGTCACAACTTCATTCGAGAATATCATACCATTTGAACAACATATGGATCTAGCTCCGAATATGGTTGAACTTGAACCAATCAGCAGCAGCAAAACTATGGATCTAGCTACAAATCTCAATTGCACTCTGTCCCAACATCATCTTCATACCCTTTTCCCTGACTAAACTTCTAATTTTTGACATGTTATCCCATTTCTCATTGAAGCCATAGATGTTTGACAACAAGATGTAATAACCTGCATGATTAGGATCTAAATCAAACAGCTTCTTGGCCGCTCTCTCTCCCATTTCAACATTATGATGAATCCTACATGCACCCAGAAGGGCACCCCAAACATGGGCACCAGCTGTAATTGGCATTTGATTAATGATTTCCATGGCTTTCTCTAACTCCCCCTTGCGGCCAAGAAGATCAACCAGTATCCCATAATGCTCCAAACCAGGATCTAGTTTAAGGACATTCCCCATCATATCAAATATTTTAACCCCCTCCTCGACCAAACCTGCATAGCTACAAGCAGATAAAATTGAAAGGAAAGTGACATGGTTAGGCCTAGTTGCAGAACTTTTGATCATTTGATCAAATATTCTTAATGCTTCCCCTGCTTGCCCATGAACTCCATGGGCAGCAATCATAGAACTCCAGATGACAACATCTTTAACAGTAGTCCCTTGGAATACTTTGATAGCATTGTCTAAAGTCCCACATTTTGAGTACAGTTCTATGAGACATGCACCAATGTAGGGGTTATTGCCAAATCCACCCCTAATTACATAACCATGAAGACAACTAGCTTGCCGAAGAATACCTAGAAATGAACAAGAAACGAGAATATTCACCATGGCAACAGCATCAGGTCGAATTCTGTTTGATAGCATGTCACAAAAGATCCCCATTGACTTATATGCCATCCCATTTTGTGCATACCCATTTATTAAAGCAGCCCAAGAGATCACATCTTTCTTTGGCATTATTGTGAAGACATTAAGTGCTTCATCAGGTGATGAGCAGTTCATGTACATGTTAATTAGAGCTGTGGAGACTGAAACTTCTACATCAAACCCTTTCTCAACAGCCAGTTTATGAATTTTCCTACCCTTTTCTAAATCACAACCAATACCACAAGCTTGCAATATGCTAACAACAGTAATTGCATTTGGCTCAATTGCCTTATCCACCATTTCCTCAAAAAGTCCTAAAGCTTCAACAGCGTCTCCACTTTGAGCATAGCAAGCAATCATTGAGCTCCAAGATATAACATCCTTCTCGGTCATCTTTCTGAATAGATTACTCGCTATTCTCTTCGAACCAGCCTTTGCATATAAATTCAACAATGAATTAGCTAAAGATAAGTTTCTGTCAAATCCCCTCCTTATCCCAAAACCATGGACACAACTCCCAAGCTTAAAACTCGTCAATTGAGTACAAGCAGAAACTAAGCTTACAAGCATTACTGGGTCAACTCTAACGTTCTCAACCCCCACCATTCTCGAGAAAATCAACACTGCTTCATTGGGAAAACCGTTCTGCTCATACCCAGTAACCATTGAAGTCCACAGCACAACATCAGGACTCTCAAACTCCTCAAAAATTTTCAAAGCGTCACCCATTTTTCCCCACTTTGAATACAATTCAATCAGAGCAGAACCCACGAACAAATCCAATCCAACTTTCCCATTCTTCCACGCAAACCCATGAACCATTTCGCCATGTTCAAACGCCCGTAGCATAGTACAGGCTTTCAAAGCAATAGGCAAAGTGAATCCATCAGGTTTCTTCTCATCAGAATTTCCATGACGGACCATTTCTTTGAACAGAATCAGAGTCTCCTTCCATTTTCTCTCCCTGCTGTAGCCACTCAGCATAGCATTCCACATGAAAGTGCTTCTCTGCGGCGTTTCATCGAATAGTTTACGTGCATGGTTGAGAAACGAGTATTCAGCGTACAAAACGCAGAGTCTTGATGCAAGGAAACTGTCGTGAATAAAACCGGCTTTTAGAATTTGAGAATGCAATAGGGTCAATGATTTTCCATCATCACATGCCTTAAGCAGCTTCAGTAGCACCTCCCTTCTTGTCATAAGCAGACGAAACTACTGGGGACAGTTATGACACCCACTGGTTTTCCCCCAAATACGGCAACTCGTAACAATTTTTTGTTTGGTCACTTCAAAACGACGTCGCAGCAACAAACCCGGATACTACCCCCGCCGATACGATGTCGTTTTAATTTTTCTGGCCCACCAAAATTACTTATTTCTCCTCGGGCTAAAATACTTTAGTAAACTAGATATTTTCTAAGCGTTGTTTTCTAGTTGCAATGGAAGTCATTAGGCTAGGCATGAGTTTCCCATTATTATATATACATATTTCTATGTATATTAATTTAAAAATAAAATTATTAAATTTTAATATCTCTTATTGATTAATTTTAAAGAAAAATATATATAAAATGAATATAATAATTATAAAATATTTTATTGTTAATAATAAAATTTAAAAAATAAGTTGAAAAAGAGAAAAAGGAGGAGAAGAATCTAAAGACAAAAACAAATGGTGAGTGGGTAAGGAAGCCACTAAGGGAAAAAGGGCTATCATACCCTATAAGAAAGCTTTGTTTACTCATCAATGACTTCGATGAACATTTTTAGCCCTCCACATTTCACATCTTGTTCGGACCTTAAAATTTTGGAATTGACTTCTCTCACATCGCACATCAAATTTTTTCACATCAATACTAACTTTTTATCTATAACATCTAAGTCGTTTATTTTAAATATAAATAAATAAATTTTTAGATATTTTTAATACATATTTTCATACAAAAATATAATGTAATTACTATCGCTCTAAAAATTTTAAGTAA